CACTTTCGTACAACAAAACAAACAATCACTTTTTCTAGAAGCCACGTCACAATAGTAAAACAATATGACTGATTGAAATAATAATGTAAAGAGTGGGTAACATAATGACATAAACAAATTATAACTTTAAACTTTTTTCATACAATGGGACAGTAATTATAATGGTCAAAAACTAAGCTGAAATGTATTGTTTATGTTTTCCAAATTTACATTTTATGATTTTAACTGATAAAATAAGTTTTAGTACATGTCATACATGTATGTAATTACAAAATATATGTTTACTTCTAGAAATAGGTATGTAAAACAAAAGGAAAGTAGTAGAGCTTATGATACCTAAAAAAAAAAAAATAATAAATTAACACATTTTGATTTATTATTTGTCTATAAATTGTATATTTAATTTATTAAATTAATCATACCAATACTAATTGAAAAACTAATCTAAAGAAAATATCAGGTGGCGTGAGAAAAATAACTTAATAACGTCACTAGCAGGTGCACGCTTTTCAAACGTACATAGACAATACTATACGATATTGCAAATATTTACAACGCGCTAAGATAAGGCTATAAAATATTAACTCGTTCGTTACTAAAGATAGTCAGGGAAAGCAATAGTATGGAAATTGATGAAGAACTTGAATTTAAAATTTTGGATTTAAACATTAGAAAAAATCGTTAAGCCTGTCTTGTTCTAGCAATTAGTTTTAAGTGTTCCAATAAATAGAACGTGCTAAAAAATACAATATTTTTAAGAAGAAAAGGTTTTAAATACCCAAGACCACGTTTATTTAAATATTCCTATCTATTCATAATGACCTTATATATTCATAAGGTCCGCAGAATATCCAGACGCGATACTGACAATTTTTTCGTTTGTAACGAACAGTGTCAATAAAGACGCAGCCTTAAAAATGAAAACATAATGGGTAAATACAATAAAACATTGAGTGAAATTATATAACCTGAGTATCTCTATTAAGTTTTAAAATATAAATAATAAATTAAAATTAAATATTCAAACAGATCAGCTTAATACGGAACTTATACCAATAACAACATGTCTGATGTATGTGACGTTTAGAGAATAAAATTGTATTTTGTCGTGAATCATGTCAAATGTATGTTAACAATACATAATCACATAAAAATAAAAATGTAGAAAGGGCATGCAATCTTCTTAATCAATTTTAACAATTTCTGAATAAATTAATGTATTATCTAAACCGAATTTTGCACATAAAACTCGAAAAAATATTTTTAATTTATTTGTGTCACATTTATAATTTTACTGTTTTTATTGTGCTACTTCAATTTCAAAATCAAACGATCATAACATAATCATATAATGTTCTACATATAGTATCCCTTTGAATTTGTAAATTGTAATGATATTTGGCAGTTTTAGAATTTCCTTGAAGTCAACAAGAAATAACACGATATTGGCAAAACGTTTCATGCGTCATTAATACGTGAATGCAGATATTGATTTTTATTTTTTTTTAAAAACCGTTATACATTTATAAATTGAATAATATACCTACTATTCAAGTAAACTATTAAAAGCATCAACATTTTATATATAGTCACACATTATATAAGGTAAATTAATTGGTAACATAAGTGGCATAACAGCTTTGTGAATACATTGGTACCTGTATTTTGTCCAAGGTTCCTACTGACCGGGTCACGTGAATCAGTGGGTTCTCTGGCGTAATGTCAATTACACGCCTTAGCTCATTATAGAAACTACACCGTAGTGTGAATATACTTTTATTACACACATAATTATACAATTACCGCGCTAAACGTGCAAATTATTTTGATTTTCTGTCAATTTAAAGCTATTTAAACGGTAAATCTAACAAATATTCTGACATATTGACAGATGATGTCAGTTAGTTTATTATCATGCAAAAAATCAGTCACTTTCTATTACGAAGATAATCAACGAGAGTTAAATGCTGGCTTTACAACAATGCGTTGAAAAGGGAAACATATACACCATTTTCTCCCTTCTATACAATTACGTCTATTCATAATCACATTATATATTATAACGTCCAAGGATATCCAGATGATATGACAATTTTTTTTATCTTTATAACATAGTGACAATAACATGCTGCGGTAGAAAAAAATGCAAATATAATGAGTGAATATACAATGAATATTTTGGATGAAAATATCCTACTTTAATATAACTGTAAAGTTCAATGAATTAAGAATAAATATTAAAATATAAAACGAAACAAGTTAAATGTTGGTGCTGAACATCAAAGAAGCCGTCAAATGATGTGAACAGTTCAATTTTGTGTTACGTATTATTTACTTTTTTTATAAAAGATTAAACTCCTTGAACAAAAAATTGCATATTCGCCTAGAATCTAGGTAATGGACCACAAAATGTTATTAAAAATCTAGGTAAAATAGGACAATCGTCGGTCACAGAATCCTTCAAAATAACCTATTTAAGCGTAATGTTTCACTCACTTAACCTGTTTTGTAACTTAAATGTTAATTATTTAAATGAATAACACTCCGCACACGTTTTGCCTGTTGTTCAAAAATATTTCCGCTGTGTCCGCAGCGCCAAAATAATCTCCGTTGCATATTTTAGTGATACCTTTTGTTTCCTACCCGTCATTAGATTATTGACGGGTCTCAACGGGTTTTAGAACGATCGTATATACCGGAATTCGGTATTTAGTGTGGTGCTCCAATTCTTTTTTTAGTCTCACTTACTATAGACTGGCTCATTGGCACGTTATTTATGAGGTAGATAAAAATAATATGATATTCAAACATGACACTATCACTTCAGTTAAACGTTTATTTTAATCCTTTAAAGCTCTGTGACATGTTGTACATCAGAAAAGCTATTTTTATTAGAAAATTTGAAAAAATGCACAAAATCAAGTCTAATATTTTCCCCATTGCTATACGGACAAATGCATATCTACTGGACGGCGCGTCTAATTACGAAACTAATGCCAATAACATTATGTCCGATCACGGCTTACATTCACTGATTTATCCGTGAAAATTATATTTGATATATATGAGAGCGTGATATTTTAACAGTTAGAATAGCAACCTCTGAAGTTCTTTTCTTCAAAATGTTATTATTTACTCAGTTTACAATACAAGTCGGTCTGACAATGGCAGCTTATACAAACATTAAATGAAAATTGTCACAGATAATTAGACCTTTTTCCTATCAATACATTTGTTTGTATATTTTCTTTTTAAAATGAAGATTTCTTATATACCACATTATTAGTAAGATCAGTATTTGTTAAGAATTACTGATACTTCAACAGAATTTTTTATTTATATATTTCTTTAAGTAACAAAAGTTAAGAATTATGATAATAATGGAAACTTTTTCTATATTCAGTTTGTTTAGAGTTAATCTTCTCTCTCTTCATATGTAAACCATGTCACAATGTAAGGTCATTCATGAGAACGCGTTTTCATTGCAAGCAACATGCAGTTCCGCGCAATGATATGGAGGCATACACTTTACTTCTATAAACAGAAATATGCTAATTAAATAAATGCATGCATGTACCGCCGTTTTAACATGGAATTTCATAAAAGAAATGGAACCCCAACCGTAAAACAGAACTGCACGTTTAGCTACATGTTTTTTGTATATACGACAGACTATCTTTCCTACAACGCTTTGAAGAGAAATTATTTGCCCTACGACGACAGCTAAACACTTAACGTGTAACAAATCTAAATTATCTCTTGATAATTGAAAAATGACTGATTTTAATGACGATTCTAAACGAGCAATTCTTTCTTCTGCAATAAACATACAATTTGTGTTATAATCAATTGTATGACCCAACCAAGACACTAATCTTGATGGAGACCAACAACACTTGTTATCAGCAAGCAAAAACCCGAATTCGAGCAAAGAACTTCGCACAAAATTACTAGATATTTTTGCCTTTTCGTATTCAGTGTGACCACCTACTCCATCATCTAAAAACATGATAACTTTATGACCCAAAGATCTCCAATATTTAATGATAACCCGAAGTGTTTTTGTAAATATATGCCCAGCGGTGGATATTCCGAATGGCAATGAGTTATATACATAATATTTTTCAATCCCATTTTCAATATAACAAAAACCTAAATATTTAGTATATTCCGGAAAAATATCTATGTGATGGTAAGCACTCTTTAAATCGAAAGAGTAAACAAATGTATTGAGGTCAAACATATTTTCTGCAGTGTTTATATCCTCAAATTTTATCTTAAATTTATGTAAGCAAGGATTAATATGCCTGCAATCTAACACTAACCTAGGTTTACCCACTTTATTGTAAGCTACTGTTAATGGGTTTATAACATAGGGCTTCTCTGTTACCTCAGAGATCACACTTTTTTCTAAAAGAGACTTTATCTCAGATTTAACGAAACATTCGTTTTCCCTTGCCGATTTGTTGTTTTTCAGATACACTTTTTGCGGCATATAACTAAACGGTAATTTGTAGCCATTTTTAACAACGTCCAAAATAAATACATTTTTAGACACATTTTCCCACTTACCAAAATTCTGCTTTAACCTGCCAACTGGGGAAATAGGATTATCTTTACCTATTGACCCTGATACGTTTTCTCCATTATTTACTTGAGCACCCGTACATGATTCATTTTTACTTACTTCCATCCTTCCCAAACATGCCATATCTACATGCTCATCTGTGCCTAAGACTAACTGTGAAGTCTCTAAAATATCAAAATTACAAGTACTTAACTTATTGTTCTGATAAGAACTGTTCTGCACACATTCGTTTTTCCAGTGACCGGCTTTGCCACACAAGAAACACAATCCTGGCCATTGTCTTGTGCCCTGTTGAGTCTGTGATGACGATCCTGGCGTCTCTGGACGTCTATACGTACAGCTGCTTTTTCTCGCCATTTTTGTTTTATCTGCCTTAGCCTTCCTGCTAGCACGTGCCTCAGCCTTGAAAATCCGCCTCTCATCATCCCTGTCACTAGCAATTGGGTTGGTTTCGTATTCGTTCACCGTTTTCTAGCCCAAATCTGAAGTGTCGGCAAGCAACACCAGTTTTTGCCGCCTTTTCAATAACTCCCATGCTGAAATATTTACACACATGTGTCAAAAAACTAACAATAAAATAATCCTGCCTACCAAAATAAAGCACGGGCGAAACATGAACGATTAAAATTAAACGGTAGACTCCCGACAAATTAGGCGTTATCTTTATAGACTAAATGACTATCTTTGAAATATACCTGTTTTGACCTCTAACGGGAAACACTGAATGCACGTGACATTTTTCGTTTGTTATTAAAATATTTTCAATTTACCTTGAATAATAGAATCTTTAGCAGACGATAAATCCTGTGTTTCTACGGCTGCTTGAGCGACTGCTAATTTGTCAATAACCTTTGCATTAAGTTTAAATTGTTCTTCATTACTTTTACGTTTAAATTTTGGCACGTTCAAAATTGAAATAGCAGAAGAAGGTTTGTCACTTATCTTCGAAAGCATGTTACTTATGCTTCCCAGAAGCTCCTCGTTGTTTGCTTTTACAACCTCTTTAACTTTCTCCTCAATAAACCCCGACATCTCCGCTCTATTCATGGCTGCTCAAAATTGTCCTTCACAATCGAAACCGAGCGTAGAACTGATTTCCACGAGCATTTTACCGCCTAAAACCACATGACCAATCACTGATCACGTGATATACGCATCAGTGATCCGCGCACTAGTTTATGTGCGACATAACGTTGAGACATACGTTCTGCGGCTATACTACGTAACGCGCAGAACTTAAAATTAAAAGCAGAATACTCTTTTCAAATTTAGTTGGTGTACAATAATGTTAAACATTATATACTTGACTGATTAAGATAATCTATGTCATTATACGTAACATTATTTTACACTTTTGAACATTTAAAAGGAAATGTTCTCCCTCCAAAAAAAAAAAGAACAAACAAACCGACAAAAAAGTTCATACTATCTTCCACCGTGTTCACAAATGAAATTATTTGATAATTCAGGTATATTACAGGTGTTCTGTACGTATATTTTTACGTATATATGATTTTGTATTATTTTATTTTATTCCTAAAAAAAACTATTATAATAATAAACTATGTAAACAAACATGCTGGTTGCATTGTAAATAAATGTGAAAACTTTTCTGCTGGTCCAGGAACATAATCATGGAGGGCATACTAAAATGCATGACTATAATATACGAGGGTGCTTCAAAAAGTCATGTTACTTATGAATAGAACAGAACAGAGTTTATTTCATAACTTGTACACACATAGGTACATCGTTATAACAAGCATTTTGAATATAATTTTAGGTTACATATTTTACAATATAGGAAATGTGTTTCCATACTTAAATCAGACGTTTTGGTGCAATAATTCTATTCAGGTATATATTGTCCGATGTAATAGCTACACAAGCACGAAAACCGCGTGCAAATTGTTTTGTTGGAAATTAATTATTTTAGAGGCACTTTTAACGTCTTCATTTTATTAATCAAGTAGCATTACTTTTTGAAGCCCCTCGTATATTAAGTTTCATCTGGTTGACACAAAAATGGTTACTGAACAAGTAAATATATTTCATTATATATCTCTATGGCAGATATCAAACACATATGTGAGTTAACTGTGTTTATCCAACATAGTAAGCAATGGAAAAACGTTTATTTTGCTATAATTTAGTCTATCGTCACAATCTATGTGTTGTAGAAATTGGTCAATATAAATTGAGTGGGAAATACATATTTCAATAATTCAAAAGAAAATTCACAGTCTTAAGCTGCCAAATACTTGTCGTAAATAGGGCATTGTGTCAATTCTGTGTCGGCAGACATTTGTCATCGTCTCTAGAGATAACTGAATTATATTTTTTTCTTCACGTGTTGTGTAAGATCATTTTTTATAAACGCATTCATATAACTGAGTTTTAAAGATGATGAAGTGTAAAAATAACAGAAATATGAGGCTTTGTTTACAGGCTTTAATAAAATGTTTCTGTTTCCTTTCAATGGGGCAATCTAAAAAACACCACATTCTTTTTTCTGAGTAAATGTTTGTAAGTTAAGTACATGAAATTTTGTCGTATGCCCTGATCAATCATCTTGTACGAGAAAAACAATTGACAAGTGTGTTAATTCAGACGTGGTTGGGTTTTCAAGGTTATCTTTTAGTCGTGTCACTGACACTTAAAAATCAACAATACAATATCACTTTACTTTCCTACGGAATTTGACGGAAATGGCCGAAAGAAAATGCGATTGTTTACCAAAATGTTATGTTTGTATACCTTTAATGTAAACATTGTATATTTCAATGAAACATGTAAAATTTAAACATTCCGGAACTCATTAATTCATTGTTTGATGACGTCATATCACTAAAGTTCATTGTAACGAGGTTTTTCCTCTGTAAACAATGTTATACTTTAATTAATGATAAACAATAAACGTACATTTTGAATGATTTCTGACGTTTATGACCACACATTTTCTGTGGCATGTCATTTTAAAACGAGGATGTGTTGCTCATTATCACTTTTTATTTGAGAGACCAAAAATAACGCAATATAGACATATTTTTTATTTTGTTTTGATGGGTTCTTTTTTTTGCGGGTGTATTTTATGGGGTTTATTTTAATGTTTTTTTTTTTTAGCGGGGGTTGTTTTTTTTTGTTTCACGTCTAAAATTGTGTTCATTTATTCTAAGCTCCGCTGTTTGAAATATGACATGACCTAACCTAAAAGAGCAAACAGTTTCAATTTTCATTGACTGATTATTCAAACAGTAGCACTGTGAGTTTAATTTTATACTACATAAAGATTTTAAATGTGTTTTCTTAAATCATTCAAAGTTAAGTAAAATCATCGGAGCTAATCTTTGTCGTTTCTTTAAAAATGCAATAATCCCGAAAATGTCCTCAAATTGTTAAGGGAAATATAAACTACGGCGGCACCTATGTCCGCATGTCATTTCTATGGCAACATATATAATTTAAAAATCAATTGGAAGGGGCCTTAAAAAATCTATTACTGATTCACAATAATTCATATATTACGTATATGTACATTTCTTTTAAAATTGAAACTTATTCTTTGTTTTTTTATTATTTTATTTAACAACTTGCAACGTTTTTTAGTATTTTTTTTTACATGTTTTAACCTTGTATTTTTGTAAAATAGCTATATATTTCGATCTTGTTTGTGGCTGGTGTAGCTTAGAGATTTATTTATGTTTCCTTTTTATAGGAAGAGTGATATATAATTTATGTCGAAAGATCATACTACATTGTACTTATAACGTTGTTGTTTTCATATACTGATATATTGTTATTATTCTAAATTCTAAGTGGCTTCTACGCTGCGTCTCTCTACAGTCGTAAAACTATAACCTATTTTTCAGTCAATATTTAAA